TGACTAATATGAAGAGTGATAGTTTAAATAGGGATGGAGTTGTAAAAATAAGAATGGATACGGACCATTAAAACATGAACTGAAATATGGACCACTAAAACATGAACTGAAATATGGACCACTAAAAATAATATTTATTTTTTTAAAAAAAATTATCGTAAAAAACTATATACCACATGTTTCATTTATTTAATTATATATATATATATATATATATATATATATATATTATTTTAAATAAATATTAAAAACATTTTAAATTCATTTTTATTATATATATATAATATATAAATGTAATAATATAATAAAAAACATGAAAAGTTTTATAAATCTAATTAAAATAATTATAAAGGTAATTGAAATAATTTTATAATTTAAATAATTTTCTTTCCATTTAAGAGTAATTGAAAACTCTTATAAATGTAATTAAAAATAATTTTATAATTTAAAGACTTTTCTTTTAAGTAAAAGTAACAGAAAACTTTTAGAAATAATTAATTTAAAAGTAACGGAAACTTTTAGAAATAATTTTATAATTTAAAAATAATTGAAAACTCCATTACTCTACTAAAGTTATAAATGTCATACTCCAATTGGTCCATGATGTCAATTTTGCCACTGGTCCATGATATCAATTTTATCACCACATCACGTCGGATATCTTGTTTTGAATTCGATTGGTCCATGATGTTAATTTTGTCATCGGTCCATGATGTCAATTTGCCACTACATCATCACGTCGGGTATCTTGTTTTAACTGAAACTTCTTCGTTTTAGCTCTAATTTGAGTGAACAAAAAAAAAAAAGTTGAAATCGTTATTCCGAACCTTACACTGTGGATAAAAGAGAATTGTTAATAATTTAAGGTAGGTTTGTTATCATCAAAACATCAATTAATTAATTAATTAATTTGAGATTAAGGGCCAAAAAGCCAACAATCGGCTTATCGGCTCAGTATCGCTATAATATATCGATTTCTAGGTTTTCGGCACTTCTGAAACCGTTTCTGCCCTTATTTTTTACCATATGAGGTCAGTATGGTTCCTAACCGTCAAAGACAAATTGTGCTAGAAGTTTATTTTGGTAGATAGGATGAGATTTAGTTAGGGTATATTAGGGAAGGTTACTAAATTTTTATGTGGTTATTATAGGACGTATTTAACCGTTGGAATTAGCGTGTTGTGAGTGAATTCGGACAAGGTCATCGAGGTAAGTGACCTTACTATTGGAGTTAGCTTACTACGTGTTGTATGATGGTGCGTGCCCTGTGGCTCATGCATGCACCATATTTTATGTGATATGACTATATGATGTATGAATTATGTGATTGTTTACTCTATGAAAAGTTATGGATTATGTTGATTGTTGACTGTTGACTGTTTACGCTAGGAAACGCTATGAAAGATAATGGATTATGTTGACTGTTGACTGTTGATTGTTTACTCTATGAAAGGTTATGGATTATGTTGACTGTTGACTATTTACGCTATGAAAAGTTATGGATGATGTTGACTGTTGTCTGTTATGCTATGAAAAAATTGTTGACCTGCTAATATTATATGCCATGAAAATGTTGATCGATGACATGGATACACTAGTATTATTGAGTCATGTCATGAAATGCTTATGGAACTAGAATGTATTTTCATGTTATGTAATATGTCATGTAATGTAAGTTATGTGATATGTCATGTAAGGTAAGAAATGTATATGTGATGTGAGCAATGCTTATGTAATGCCATGTTAGGTACGTTACGGGACCTCATGCATATATGTAAGTCACTTGTATCGGAATTCTTTCCCTTTTATGTTACGAAAGAATAAATACGATATTTATGTTCGCCATGATATCATGCAGGCCCTTTTCTGTTATGTGATGTCCGGCGACGTGTAATACGTTGTGCTCGACCAAGTTAGGCCCAGGGGGTACGTATACGAGTCCACCTAGTGGGTCCATGTGCGCGTACATGGGCCGTGTGTGAAGGAGTACCACGCACCCAACCCTACCTAGAATAGAAAAGCGCCCAAGACCATCTAAACTTTATGAAAAGTCAGGTCCCGCTCATATGTTGCATGTGTTTGCATTTCTAACCTTAACAGTGGGTGACTTACTGAGTATTTCATAAAATACTCAAGCCACGTGCTACCTACATTTTTCAGGTAAAGGCAAGACGATAATGTACAGTTGACGGTGGAGCTGAGCACACTATGGAAGTAGCCGAGGGACATTTTTAGTAGTTTATGTTTATTGACTGTTTTAAGTTAAAACATTGAACATTATTTTGAATTCAATTACTTAGGGTTTTATTTGGGAGATATGTTTCTTTTGGATTTTTAGACCTTTATGTAAGACTTTGTTGTGTTTTCCAAGGTTATTTATGACGAGCTTCCGCGTAATAAATTATGTATGCATGGATGACGTCACTAATTAAGTAAGAAAATTAGGAGCTTTACATTAAGATTCCACCAACTACCATACATCAATTTCACCAACTACCATACATCAATTTCACTCTAGTATAAACTTTTATCACTATTTTTTTTCTTATTTCTTTTGTTTTTCTTTAATGTGTTATGTTGAAGGATAGATTTTGACCCATCACAATTGTCCATATTTTTCACATTAAAATGAAATTATAACTTGTTGAATTCAAAATCAATTACAAATGAAGAAAAAAAAATGAAAAACTTTAAATAATGTCACTTGTTTTCATGAACATCCAATCAAGTAGGCATAGTTAATCAAATTACGTTCAAATAAGCCGAAAATGATCCCAACAAATGATATAATTTTTGGCTGAAGGTCAACGAAAGTGAAATCCAAATGATTGAGTACAAATGTCATCTGAACCAAAATTCACGGTGAAGAGTTCTTATTCCTTTTCATTGTTAAAAAATATTAGAACACGTATTAAAATATTAAAATATATTTGAAGATTTAGAAGACAGGAAAACTCTTTAAAGATTTAAAGACCTTCCAATTAGTAGAAGACATTTGAAGCGCACGAAACAAGCTAGCATACCCAACGTACAAGATCAACAAATCAAGTTTGTTAAGAATAAGCGTTTCATCCATCGAGTCACGTATACACACAGAAAGAAATTAAAGTATAAAAACTAAAGTTTATTCCATGAATTAAATTTATTTGTCGAAATCTCATGTGTATGCTTAGAGTATTGGAGTAGATTATTAAGTTTGGGTTGTAAACTTCTTTACCCTTTGTTGGTCTTATTCCGTTCTTGAGTACATTAAAATTCATTCACTTTAATAATTAAAATTTACATTTGAAATAAAGATTTAATAGATAAACATTTGTTGGTTCCAGCGGGCCTCGAACCCACAACCTTCGGCTCAAAAGACCAACGCTATAACGAACTAAGCTACAAAACCTCAGATATTTTTTTTAAATCAATACTCGAACGAAAATAATATACATATAAACTTATAAATAATATGTACATTAAGAATTCGTTTCTTATTTACAAACAAATAATTTTTAAATAAATTATAACTTGCTCTCTCTACCAATGAATTGAATTGAACTTTAAAATTTAGTCAAGAATCGACTTTACGATGAAGTATGTGTAACATCGAATTTTAAAATGTAAAATTTTTTATTTTTGAAAAAATGATTTTTTTTAAGGAGTCAATGTAATCCTGATAAGATACAAAACTAACCTATTATATTTTTATATTATATACTATATTTCGATGACCTTCAAATAAGTGAAGACATTTGAAGGGCACAAAACAAGCTAGTATACTCAACTTACAAGTCAAGTTTGTTGAGAATAAGTATTTCAGCCATCAAATCAGGTATATATACTATACAAATCAATATAAATTAAGTTCATTCCATGAATTAAATTTGTTTGTTAAAATTTCTACAATGATACGATATTGTCCACTTTAAGTATAAGCTCTCATGGCTTTGTTATAGGTTTCTCCAAAAGACCTCGTGTCAATGGAGATAGTATTCCTCGTTTATAAACCTATGATCATTCCCTAAATTAGCCAATCTGGGATTTTCATCCAACACCTCCCCTCTAACAAAGTACGTCTCTCCTTAAATGGAAGCTCGACTCTTTTTGCTTTTGGAGACTTAGTCATATTTTACTATGTCTTTGAGGCTCACACTACTTTTGTTTTAAAGCATAACTCTGATACCATGTTAGATGAACACGACTCTCCACAATGGTATGATATTATCCACCTTTAGTATAAACTCTCATGGCTTTGCTTTGGACTTTTCAAAAGGCCTCATGCTGATGGAGATAATATTCCTTGATTATAAACACATGATTATTTTCTAAATTAGTTGATGTTGGACTTTCATCCAACACATTCCATAAATTAAATTTGTTTATCGAAATCCCATGGTATGCTTTCTTTCTTTTCTTTTAATAAACCTATTAATGTTTTCTCTTTTTTTTTTAATAAAAACATTTAAGGGTATTTTCAAGTGTTGAGTAGATTAATAAGTCTTTTAAGTTTTGGGTTGTAATATTCGTATCTTGTTCATATTAGTAGGGCATGGAGTGTAATATTTCTATCTTGGATGAAATCTTCGTGAATTCTTTTAAGTTGCTCATCGAGGGCATCTTTCATGTTTTTACTGCTTGAGTCTTGGGTCGTGCCCCAAATATATTCTTATTTGAGTTTCATATAGCCTTTCATATCTTCTGTAACAACCTGAAATTTTCTTCTTAATTTAAGGTCGCTACTGTATACATACCATAAACATTGAATGCGGAAGACTTCATTTAAATTCCATAAAATATAACCTTTATCTTAAAACACAGCCATGGACTTACGTGTTTCGAAAACATCTTTAAAACGACACAACAAAAGACTCAAAATAAAATAAATAAACGTTTAAGTTTAAAACATCTTATTCTATCCTAAGTCTAAGAAAATAAACGCAACTATCTTATGCATGTGCCATGATCTCGAGTTGCGATGCCGTCGTCAGCCGTACAGGAATGCCTTGCCTTAACTTGAAAAATGTAGTAGCACATGACTTGAGTATTTAAAGAAATACTCAGTAAGTGACCCCACTATTGGGGTTAAATGCAACAATCACATGCAATGAAATGATGGGACCTATCTTTCGTTTCGTTTCATTTCATTTCGTTTCGTTTCGTTTTCCCTACGGTGTAATCCTAACAGGTAATCGTGGACGTGTACCATATACTCTACACGCAGCCCATACGTGCGAGTATGGGCTCACTAGTTAGTTCGCACACCGCTGGGCCACTGTCCCTAGCCAGTGGGCATGCTCTAGGGACCCACCGGGACCCATTAAAACTAAAACCGTCACGGCAGCGCTATGCAGGGCATAACGATCGTTGTCCTGCCATTTGGATGTACGCGCCTGTACCCTCGTGATGGGATAGGGGTATCCCCCCAAATGCATGATCACACAATATGCATGAGGTCCCACTAGTCCTACAGTCATTATTTAATGAACATAACCCCGTGTCGCGTTTTCATGCTTACATGTCATTCTCATTCTCATTTCGTTACATATCATACATATTCCTAGTGGGGTTATGTATCATGCAACTTACCGTATTTCATGTCATACAATTCATTCAGTTACATTCCAATACTCATACAACAAGCCATGATCGTACAAGGGTCACACATCGTCACATGCATTCATATCACATCAACTAAGCAGCATGCATAACATACATTCACGTTCACATGATTTCGTACTTAAGCACAATAATCTAGCATACAATGTACCATATCATAAACAGGTCATAACATAAACACTTCATAGTCATATCGTTCTCTAACTTACCATAACACTATCGTTCTATCAATCTATCACAAACCTATCCCTTTCTACCTATAACCTAATCGTATTCTTTCATCAATCTCTCCTATCCATAGCACTCCAATATGTAACCTGACCTTGACGTTTCATGAACGTAACTTACTTCTATCGTTACATTTCGTTTTGTGCATTCTTCTCGTATCCTATCTCAAACATATCCTTGAGCACATCGTACCATAATTATTATCATACAAACCACATATAATAACATAACATAACATATAGGAAGCATATCGATCCACAAACAATTCACACATATCAATATATATGACACGTGCAGAACCACAGGGCACGTGTCAACATCAAATATAACCATGCCGATAGTAAGGTCACTTACCTGACTAGCTTAAGTCGTTGTCACAAATATATCTTTAATGAAAGTTCGATTCCGTCCTTTGAAATCTGAGTCAACCTATATGAGCTCATGACATTAGTTTCAAGTTTGAACTCTATACAATAATTTCTCTAATTTACCTTGTTAAAATCCTGATATTTACTGTTAGACAGAATTTAATGGAGTTTCATGCCCTCTGATATCTCCTGTTATATTTTTAAATTCTGTTTAATAAATCTTCCCTCAATCTTCCCTCCTCCCTCATGGTAATTATTTTCATTCCCATTCGGTAATAGATTCTCAGTTTTGTAAACATCTGTAAATAAGATATTACTCTCCTTCTATATTTATTTTCATTCTATAAACAGATATTATTGCCCAATTTTAATTTGGCTACTATCTTACAGATTTATGGATCTGACAGCTAAAATTTTATTGATTCTAACCTTATTTCCTCTAACTTCCGATACGATGCTAACAAAAATCTAATTAATTGAACATGGGATCCGATTATTACAGACTGTAAGATAGGGAAGAAGATTTGATCCTAAATTAATTTCTTATAAATCTGAGATAGAATTTTACCGTAATAACTGACAAAAATTTCTAAATCTACAATCTATTCAAAGCCATTTTACTTCTTCTCAAATCTGACCATTGTTGTTTTCTGTTTCTTTCTTTTTTGTGCAGTTTTTCTGTCTTTCTTTTTTTGGAGCATAGATGGGTAGAGGAGAGATAATTGTGGGAAAGGATGAGAGGTTAGTGGGGAGAGGTGGGGAAAGGTTTATTTTTTATTTTTTTATTTTTTTAATTAATTAATTAATTAATTTTTTTATTATTATAATTTTAACTATTTTTATTCGTTTATTTCTTTATTTAGGGTTTATAGTCTTGGTAGCCTAACGGTTGGTTGTGCTCTTTTCTTAGTACTTATCTTTGGAATCTTTTCATAGTCTCATAAAGTATTGTGACATTTGGAGGTCATTTGGGCAATGGATCGAATGTAAGTTACCTTAGGGTATTATGGTCATTTTACACCATTACTTGGTTTAGCTCCTTAAATCTTTTCTAATGACCAAAAATTACATATATAATCTTAATATGCCATAATGTGTTTAGCATTAAAGTTTCATGGGTAGTGGAGTTCATTGAGTGGGTCATTTTAACGCTTAAATTTCGAGCAAATCAATGGTTGAGGGTCAATTCTTTGTTCTTGGTGTTTTTCTTTCATATATCATTAATTCCTTCTTAGTTTAAGGCTCATACTGAAATCCAAGCGTTTCCTACGAATATTTCTTAAAAAAAGTCTAAGATGGCTACTTACCTCGTCGTCAATGTTCGGAACCTCCGTTCTCAAGCTTCCGATATCCGAATTACTTCAAATTTTCTTTCACAAAATCCTTAGTGTCTAGTTTCTAGAACCATAATATTTTTTCATGAGAACCGATCTAGAAGAAGGATAAAATTAAGAAAAACTAAGAGAGTGTCTAGTTTTAGGTAGACATGACCAATTTAGTTGAAACGACCACGTCATCATCTTCTTCCTAGAGGAAGAAGACGCGCGCGAGCCTTCGTGCCCCCGTTTGAAAACTCATCTCCTCTACTCTATGTTTAGCATTTTTTCTTCAATTTCTTCATGAAACTTAAATATGGTGCCACAGGGAACAACTAGGGATTGATTTCATACCTTCTTGTGGATTGTATCATAAGTTATTCACCTCCAAAATTCATCAAAAATCTTTTTCCTAGTTGGAGTTCAACCTAGAAAATTCTCATTGTGCAGCCAATTCTAGAGCTTTTAAGGATCCCATTTCTTCATGAAATTTCTTTTTTATTCTTCCCCTAATTAAAGGATTTTTTTTCGGAGGAACGCCTTTTAAATGTATGGCCTTAATTTTGGAAATCATTCATAGGTCCGCAATTCACCCAAAAATGCAAAAGTCCATTTTAATTCTCCATTTATCCATCAAAGTTACTCATATCAATTCTATTAAGCTAAAGAAACGCTCAATTTTGAGAAAATTGGATTGTATATGGGAATTTGATCATTACCCCCAATGTCAACCCAAAAATGACTTTTTTCAATTGGGCATTGTAACGACCCAAAATTTTCTACTTAATTTAAGGTCGCTACTGTATACGTACCATAAATATTGAATGCGGAATACTTCATTTAAATTCCATAAAACATAACCTTTAACTTAAAACACA